AAAAACGTGATGTAACCCCTTGCCATTTTGTTGATTTGGGTCAAAATTTAGATTTTTATGTTTTTGATGCCAATCGATAGTACTGATTCTTACGAGTCCAAAATGGTATAAAATTCCCAAATCGGACAGAATTTGGCCGAGATATTACAAAAAATCATCAGAAAAGGTTGACTTTACAAACGAATCGGTTTTTGGTCAACCACTTTTTTGAACCCATCGATTTTTAAAATGTTTGAATGCAGATTGATAGTAGGGATCCCTACGAATTCAAAAAGGTATAACATTTCAAAATCTGACAGTATTTACCCGAGGTATTCAATAAAAATCATCAAAAAAGTTTTGATTTTCGAACCGACTCCGAATTTGAGAAAAAACGTGATGTAACCCCTTGCCATTTTGTTGATTTGGGTCAACATTTAGATTTTTATTTTTTTGATGCCAATTAATAGTACTGATTCTTACGAGTCCAAAATGGTATAAAATTCCCAAATCGGACAGAATTTGGCCGAGATATTACAAAAAATCATCAGAAAAGGTTGACTTTACAAACGAATCGGTTTTTGGTCAACCACTTTTTTGAACCCTTCGATTTTTAAAATGTTTGAATGCAGATTGATAGTAGGGATCCCTACGAATTCAAAAAGGTATAACATTTCAAAATCTGACAGTATTTACCCGAGGTATTCAATAAAAATCATCAAAAAAGTTTTGATTTTCGAACCGACCCCGAATTTGAGAAAAACGTGATGTAACCCCTTGCCATTTTGTTGATTTGGGTCAAAATTTAGATTTTTATTTTTTTGATGCCAATCGATAGTACTGATTCTTACGAGTCCAAAATGGTATGAAATTCCCAAATCGGACAGAATTTGGCCGAGATATTACAAAAAATCATCAGAAAAGGTTGACTTTACAAACGAATCGGTTTTTGGTCAACCACTTTTTTGAACCCATCGATTTTTAAAATGTTTGAATGCAGATTGATAGTAGGGATCCCTACGAATTCAAAAAGGTATAACATTTCAAAATCTGACAGTATTTACCCGAGATATTCAATAAAAATCATCAAAAAAGTTTTGATTTTCGAACCGACTCCGAATTTGAGAAAAAACGTGATGTAACCCCTTGCCATTTTGTTGATTTGGGTCAAAATTTAGATTTTTATTTTTTTGATGCCAATCGATAGTACTGATTCTTACGAGTCCAAAATGGTATAAAATTCCCAAATCGGACAGAATTTGGCCGGGATATTACAAAAAATCATCAGAAAAGGTTGACTTTACAAACGAATCGGTTTTTGGTCAACCACTTTTTTGAACCCATCGATTTTTAAAATGTTTGAATGCAGATTGATAGTAGGGATCCCTACGAATTCAAAAAGGTATAACATTTCAAAATCTGACAGTATTTACCCGAGGTATTCAATAAAAATCATCAAAAAAGTTTTGATTTTCGAACCGACCCCGAATTTGAGAAAAAACGTGATGTAACCCCTTGCTATTTTGTTGATTTGGGTCAAAATTTAGATTTTCATTTTTTTGATGCCAATCGATAGTACTGATCCTTACGAGTCCAAAATGGTATAAAATTCCCAAATCGGACAGAATTTGGCCGAGATATTACAAAAAATCATCAGAAAAGGTTGACTTTACAAACGAATCGGTTTTTGGTCAACCACTTTTTTGAACCCATCGATTTTTAAAATGTTTGAATGCAGATTGATAGTAGGGATCCCTACGAATTCAAAAAGGTATAACATTTTAAAATATGACAGTATTTACCCGAGATATTCAATAAAAATCATCAAAAAAGTTTTGATTTTCGAACCGACTCCGAATTTGAGAAAAAACGTGATGAAACCCCTTGCCATTTTGTTGATTTGGGTGAAAATTTAGATTTTTATGTTTTTGATGCCAATCGATAGTACTGATCCTTACGAGTCCAAAATGGTATAAAATTCCCAAATCGGACAGAATTTGGCCGAGATATTACAAAAAATCATCAGAAAAGGTTGACTTTACAAACGAATCGGTTTTTGGTCAACCACTTTTTAGAACCCATCGATTTTTAAAATGTTTGAATGCAGATTGATAGTAGGGATCCCTACGAATTCAAAAAGGTATAACATTTCAAAATCTGACAGTATTTACCCGAGGTATTCAATAAAAATCATCAAAAAAGTTTTGATTTTCGAACCGACTCCGAATTTGAGAAAAAACGTGATGTAACCCCTTGCCATTTGGTTGGTTTGGGTCAAAATTTAGATTTTTATTTTTTTGATGCCAATCGATAGTACTGATTCTTACGAGTCCAAAATGGTATAAAATTCCCAAATCGGACAGAATTTGGCCGAGATATTACAAAAAATCATCAGAAAAGGTTGACTTTACAAACGAATCGGTTTTTGGTCAACCACTTTTTTGAACCCTTCGATTTTTAAAATGTTTGAATGCAGATTGATAGTAGGGATCCCTACGAATTCAAAAAGGTATAACATTTCAAAATCTGACAGTATTTACCCGAGATATTCAATAAAAATCATCAAAAAAGTTTTGATTTTCGAACCGACTCCGAATTTGAGAAAAAACGTGATGTAACCCCTTGCCATTTTGTTGATTTGGGTCAAAATTTAGATTTTTATTTTTTTGATGCCAATCGATAGTACTGATTCTTACGAGTCCAAAATGGTATAAAATTCCCAAATCGGACAGAATTTGGCCGAGATATTACAAAAAATCATCAGAAAAGGTTGACTTTACAAACGAATCGGTTTTTGGTCAACCACTTTTTTGAACCCATCGATTTTTAAAATGTTTGAATGCAGATTGATAGTAGGGATCCCTACGAATTCAAAAAGGTATAACATTTCAAAATCTGACAGTATTTACCCGAGATATTCAATAAAAATCATCAAAAAAGTTTTGATTTTCGAACCGACTCCGAATTTGAGAAAAAACGTGATGTAACCCCTTGCCATTTTGTTGATTTGGGTGAAAATTTAGATTTTTATTTTTTTGATGCCAATCGATAGTACTGATTCTTACGAGTCCAAAATGGTATAAAATTCCCAAATCGGACAGAATTTGGCCGGGATATTACAAAAAATCATCAGAAAAGGTTGACTTTACAAACGAATCGGTTTTTGGTCAACCACTTTTTTGAACCCATCGATTTTTAAAATGTTTGAATGCAGATTGATAGTAGGGATCCCTACGAATTCAAAAAGGTATAACATTTCAAAATCTGACAGTATTTACCCGAGGTATTCAATAAAAATCATCAAAAAAGTTTTGATTTTCGAACCGACCCCGAATTTGAGAAAAAACGTGATGTAACCCCTTGCCATTTTGTTGATTTGGGTCAAAATTTAGATTTTCACTTTTTTGAAGCCAATCGATAGTACTGATCCTTACGAGTCCAAAATGGTATAAACTTCCCAAATCGGACAGAATTTGGCCGAGATATTACAAAAAATCATCAGAAAAGGTTGACTTTACAAACGAATCGGTTTTTGGTCAACCACTTTTTTGAACCCATCGATTTTTAAAATGTTTGAATGCAGATTGATAGTAGGGATCCCTACGAATTCAAAAAGGTATAACATTTTAAAATATGACAGTATTTACCCGAGATATTCAATAAAAATCATCAAAAAAGTTTTGATTTTCGAACCGACTCCGAATTTGAGAAAAAACGTGATGAAACCCCTTGCCATTTTGTTGATTTGGGTGAAAATTTAGATTTTTATGTTTTTGATGCCAATCGATAGTACTGATTCTTACGAGTCCAAAATGGTATAAAATTCCCAAATCCCACAGAATTTGGCCGAGATATTACAAAAAATCATCAGAAAAGGTTGACTTTACAAACGAATCGGTTTTTGGTCAACCACTTTTATGAACCCATCGATTTTTAAAATGATTGAATGCAGATTGATAGTAGGGATCCCTACGAACTTCAAAAAGGTATAACATTTCAAAATCTGACAGTATTTACCCGAGGTGTTCAATAAAAATCATCAAAAAAGTTTTGATTTTCGAACCGACCAAGAATTTGAGGAAAAACGTGATGTAATCCCTTGCCATTTTGTTGATTTGGGTCAAAATTTAGATTTATATTTTTTTATATCAATCGATAGTTCTGATTCTTACGAGTCCAAAATGATATAAAATTCCCAAATCGGACAGAATTCTGCCGAGATATTACAAAAAATCATCAGAAAAGGTTGACTTTACAAACGAATCGGTTTTTGGTCAACCACGTTTTTGAACCCATTTAAAATGCTTGAATTGATAGTAGGGATCCCTACGAATTCAAAAACGTATAACATTTCAAAATCTGACAGTATTCACCTGAGATATTCAATAAAAATCATCAAAAAAGTTTTGATTTTCGAACCGACATCAAATTTGAGAAAAACGTGATGTAACCCCTTGCCATTTTGTTGATTTTGGTCAAAATTTAGATTTTTATTTTTTTGATGCCAATCGATAGTACTGATCCCTACGAGTCCAAAATGGTATAAAATTCTAAAATCGGACATTATTTGGCCCAGTATTAAAAAAAATCATCAAAAAAGGCTGACTTTACAAGCGAATCGTTTTGATACTATACATATACTATACATATACTATGGTATGAGCTACATATCATGTTTGGTGACTCTAGCTCTTATAACTTACAAGATTTGCCCAAAAAACACGATGTCGATATCGATTTTTATCGATTGCATGGAAACGAGGCAAGTTATCGATTAGCGAAAACAAACTCTTACTGAGCGGGCAATAGGAGGACCTACATTCCAAAGGACTACATTTCAAGTCTCTGGCTCTTATGCGTTCTGAGATCCTTGCGTTCATGCATACTTTGAGAAGCGAATAGAGAGGTCTCGCATTCAGAGCGATGCGCATTCTTATGTCAGAATTGCACTCGAACACACAATTGAAGTTTGAGCTATTGTTTATAGTCTATAATTTAAAAATTAATGAAATCTATTGTAATTTGTTGTATTTTATATATTTATTTGCGGCTTTTGTTTATATAATTCTATGTGCTCCTGTTTGGCGAGCTGCTATTAAGGCGCATCAATGACAGGCGACAGGATACCCTATTGGTGTCCAATTCGTTGGCATTTTGTATAAATAAGTAGCATATTACATATTTACAGGTGCGCTTGCTGCACGTACAAGGTGTGTTAACAATATTGGGAAAGGGTATATATAGTTATATATATAGAGTATACAATCATAGATGTGTATTTGGAGTAGTAAATACGAGTACATGGGATAAACGATATACATAGTGCTACCGAATGGTACTTTAATTGCACTTTTTAATATACAACTATTTAATTTTATCAGAACTTATTTTAATCGAAAAACAAAAAAATGGTAAAATAATTAAAGGCAATCATCACACGCAGAAGACACAGTTCCAGGCTATTCTATAACAATCAAGTGTCGCTGAGAATATCCTTCAATATTGAGCTGGAGTTCCGCGTCGGCGCAAATTCGTTGCCGCTCATGTGCACCGATTGCATTGGCGGCATTGCCGGCGAAGGGGGCGTGGCATGCATCAATTGCTCGCCAGTGGCCGTTGTTGCTGCTGCCGCTGAAGTTGCTCCAGCTGCGGCTGTTGTTGCATCTCCGCCTGCTCCCGTTGCTGGGGACGCTGTAGCCGTTGCCTCCGTTTGTTTGGCCAAGCTCAGCAGATTGGGCCGCGACTGCACCGTCGATTGCGGCTGTGATTCCTGTTCCAGAAACTGGACAAAAGCCTGCAGCAGATTGTCATTGCCTGTAGCGGGTGGATATGCGAGTTAGTAGGGGTATGCAAGAGGTAGTTCAAGAGAAATAACTTTACCCGAGCTGGTCGAGGAGGAACCGCCGCCGAGTATGCTGCCCAGCCAGCTGCTCTGCGGCTTGTTGAGGCCCACCTTGTTGGCCTCCTGATCGCTAAAGTCCAGCAGGGTGGATATCATGCGGAGCACCTGCTGCTTATCGCCCGCATGCCCGCTAACCACATAGCCGATGAGCAGGCTCTTGATGAGACTCTTGTCAATCTTGTCCGTCTGGCTGGACTCGCTGCTGCTGAGGCTCTGCTCCAGCTTGAGATTGGCTTCCTTGAGGCTGTCCACTGTGCGGAAAGTACCAAAGAAAACAAATTGCATTCAGAACGGACTCGATTTATAAGCAGCGCACAACTCTAAGGCTAAGGACTATGCCAAGATCTTAATTTAAAGGCTAACATCGACACGGGGAGACGAGCAGACGAGTAGGGCGCGCGCGCGCGAACATAAATATATTTTGTAAAAGGCGTGGCATGCGGTTAGTGCGCCCACTGCACGGCGTAGTATGACATAAGTACTGGTTGTTAGTTAAATGGCACACCAGTACCTGATGTAATACTCAACCGTACAGACGCTGATGCGGATGCGGATGCGGATGCTGATGCGGCTGTTGATGCGGCTGTTGATGCGGCTGTTGATGCGGCTGGCATTTGGCTAAGAGGCAGCTGCTCTGTTGGCTGGCTGGCTGGCTGGCTAGCTGGCTGTCTGGGTCCGTCGGGTCTGGCTAATGGGCTTGGGCTGGCTGGTGTTGCTTGGCTCAATGCAATGCAAGACAAAATTCAAGCAAACAGTAACAAACAGAATCAATTAAATCAAATCAATTATTTAGCTAGCGGGCAAAACGACAACAACAACAATAGAGCAAACGAAAAAGTGTGTATATACGTGGCATACATATAGATATACATATATATGTATATAAACTACAGCTCAACAATATATATATATATGTATATTTGTATATTTGAATATTTATGTATGTGTCTGTGTATGCATTCAAGAGTTAAGTTTTTACATAATGTGGCATAAGCTGCAATCTCGAGCAATCTCCAATTGCAAAGTGAGTGCGTCAAATACTTTAAAATCGCTCACATTTACAAATTGAGATTAATCAATGCTGCAGATAAGTTTAACAACAATATAGACGAGAGGCTGTATTATTTTTTTTGTTGCTTCTCTCTCTTAATTTCGCCGTATTACGGATATACGGATATACGGTTTACGATAGCGGTCTAAAAAAAAAAAACGCATTACAAACTCAGAAGATATAGTAAATAATATGAAAATAAATCATAAAATACAAAATTAAAACTATTCACAAATAGAAATAATTCAGCATAAATACGTGTAAATATTGGCTTACAATATACAATATAAAACATAATTAAATAATGAGGGAAATAACAAGCAGGCAACAACAAAGTACAATATTAAAATAAATCATATACATACATACATATATATAACACATAACTCGAGTATAACTTGGAACCAGTGTGCAGAAACTAGCTAAAGATAACAAAAAAAAATACTGCAAAATACTAGCAAATAATACCACAAATATTTCCTTCCTACTTAAACATTTCAACATTTTTGAACATATATTTAAATTAATTTTTAATTCAATTTTTCTTTTCTTTTCACCTTTTGCCCCTGCACAGTGGTTCCGGTACACGAAATCTATAGACTACAAATCTAAGCTACAAATCAAAATAGAAAATTACAATTGATAAACAAAAAAAAAAAAACAGTTTAGTTTACAACATAAAAGGCAACTAAGAGAAATTTTGGATCAGTATTAACTGTGTCTCTGTGTGTGTTTGTGTGTACCAGCAACAGGAAGTGAGAAGTGTTTTAGGGATCGGGCGATCGGGTGATCGGGCGATCGGGCCGAACGGACGGACGTGTTTTTTAGTGGTAGGTAGTGTGGTTTAGCTAATTGGAATACTATGTGTGTTCGGATTGGGTTTACCTGCTCTATGGACCAACTTACGGTTACAGCCAATATAGCCACATGCCGTAGGTGCGATTGAATTTGTGTGTATTTATTTTTTTTCTTCGCTTTAATTTTATTTTGTTTTTGGTTTTTTCTTATTTTTTTTTCAGATTCGATTTTATTTGGATTTTTCTTCTTCATTTTTTTGTTTTGTTTTTTTTTTTATTTTTGCGCTTGGTGATAAAATGCAATTCAAAAAAGTCGATACCAACTGAAATTCCGAGTGTTTCATATTTAGGCATTGCTCCCAGAATTACCAGCTGATATTTACCTTTGAGAATCGGGTGAGGTGACATCTCGTTCTTTCGCTCTCACGCTCGCAGCCATACTCATGCACACACACACACACGCACGCACACACACACTCAAACACTCGAAACACTTACGCTCTCTAAACATTTAACATTCAAATAGAACTTGGTGCGGGTTTATGCGTGAGATCAAGTAAATAGTTAACAGGTTGAATATACATATGTACATATATTCAGGCCCGGTGTAAGCCATGATGTGAATCGTGGGTTAAGAACATGCCGTTAACTGAATGGTAATTGTAAGGTTTTGCTTAGTCAATAAATTGGTATTTGTATTTGGTTCTTCTCTTGTTTAATTATAAATTGAAAATTTGAATATGCAGGGTGTGGTGGTGTGATTTTAGAGACACGAACGGTAGCCGACTTATTTGGGTTAGTCAAAATCCATTGGCCCGCTTGCTCCGAGTGCATTGACTCACCTTCGTCACGGAGCACGGCAATGGTTTGCTGCCCGGCCTCCAGCTGATCGGAGAGCCGGGACGCGGCACGCAGTCCCTGATTGGCATCGGCCAATTGCTGTTGCAACACATTCATCTCCGACTTCAGCTGGGCCTGCTGCTCCAGTTGTGCCTGCATTTCGCGGCGCATCCGCTGCGTAGCCGTTGCAATGTCATGCTCCTTGTCTGGCGAATAGCATATGATATGTATTTGAATACAGTTGTTGTGCTTGAGAACTCTGCTTTTTTGCCGACTCTTACCATTCTGGAACTGTTCCAGAGCGCACTGTAGATTGGTTAGGGCCGCCTGTTGTCGTTGCTCTCGGTCTTCATGTTGGCCCAGCTTGGCAAGTAGTTCGTCGCGCTGTTGCAAGAGCAGCACGTGCTGTGCCTGCAACGTCTCCGCCTGTTGGTTAGCCCGGATGCTGTTGCGAGATGCGAGAGTACAAATAGTTAAAAATAAGATCAGCTTGCAGTTTGGCTTGAATTGAGCCAAAGGCAAATTAGTTGAGCAGCTAATATAATCGAATTCATGTCAAGCTAGCTAAACCTGAATGTTAAATTCCATTTAATGTAAATAAAGCTGCTTTTCAAATTGTAGCCTTTCATTTGAAAGTCGCTCGATCATCAATAAAATAGAAGGCCTCATGTGAACATGCAATTAACTAGAATATTGTTTTCTTAAATCAATAAAATACATAAATGTCGATCAGCCGCCTTAAAGCAACAAGAATTTCAATTTCAATTTGATGCACAGCTGCAGCAGAGTATTTCATTTGAGACTTCCAACTAAGTACAGTTGTGCCAACTGCCAGCTGGCAGCTGCTGTTATCGATAACAATCGAAATGGCAATTCAGTGGAAACACTGTGCAAAAGTATGGCGCATGGCATACCGCAATTACAATAATCACACATCGCTGGCAGCAGGTGAATTCGCCGCGCCTCGCCGCGCCACGTGAGCGTGACTCGCGGCGAATACAGGCTTTCAAAATGGCGTCCCCCGCAAGTGAGTCACGGTTATCAGCACTATAATCAAGCACACACACACACTGGCACACACACACATGCATAGACGCTAATTAGCGCACACGAGCCGGAACTCACCTGGCCGAAGTGTAGGCGTTGCTGGATTTGGATACCTCATGCTGTAGGGCGGCCTGCTTGTCCCTGGCCTCATCGAGTTCGCGCTGCAGCTGAACGCTCTCCTGCGTGTGCAGCTCCTCGATCTCGACGAGATGGGCGCGCAGACGCTCTAAATCGCGCTGAACACTTGCCTGTTGCTCCTGGGCATCGGCCTGTTGCTGTTGGAGCAGGCGCTGATTGGTTTGCTCCGTGAGCAGATTTGTGGTTAATATGTCGGACTTCTCCTTCAAGAAGCTGATCTGATCGCACAGTTTCTCGCGCTCCTTGATTAGCTCAGCCAGCTTCGGTTCCAGCGGCTGCAGTCTCTGTATTTCCGCATAGTATTGTGTGTTCTCCGCATGCTTCTGCTGCAACGCCTTGATCAGCTCCTGTTTCTCGCCGTTCAACGTATCGATGCTCTGCTGTAGTTGAGCGCTATTCTCCTTCAGCTGCTGCAGCTCCTCCGCCCTTGCCTGCAGCTGCGTCGTCAGCTGCTCCATGTCTGAGTTGTCCTGCAGCTCGGCCAGCTGCTGCCTGAGCTGGTCGCGCTCCTCGCCCAACTGCTGTAGCTGCTGCTGCTCCTTGGACGCCAATTGATCATGCAATTGACTCTCCTTGAGGGCTTCCTTTGCCTGGGCATAGAGTGCCTGCAGCTTGTCCAGCTGTGACCGCAACTGCTCGGCAACTTCTTCGCTGGTCAGCAGCAGCTCCGTCTTTTTCTCCAGCTCAGCGCGCAGCGCTGTCGCGTCCGTTAACTGACGTTGCATATTCTCCTCCATCTCCAACAATTCCAGCCGCATGAATTGCAATTGTTCGCGCAGCTCCTCCAACTCCTGCTCCCGCGCCTCCAGCTTCGTTTTGAGCAGCTCGCTTTCGCTACTCTGTTCGGGCACATCTTTCAGCTGCCGCAGCTGCGTCTCGACCCGCTTCAGCTGTGCCTCCAGCCTCTCGCACAACTCAGTGCTCTCGTGCAGCTGCTGCTGCTTGGCATTCAGCTGGGCCTGGAGCGCCGCTTGCTTCACCTCGAATTGCTGTTCCTTGGTACGCAATTCCTGTTCGAGCTGCTCCAGTTGTGAGCCATCCTCCGGAGTGAGTTCTATTTGATCCAGACGGGCTGAGAGCTGCTCGATTTCGTGCTGCTTGTCGGCCAGCTCTTTGGATTGATGTGCCAAACGCGCTTTCAATTCGTCCAGCTGCTCCTGGTGATTGCCGCCGCCGCCGCCGCCGCCGAGCTGTGCGATCTCCAGTTTGTGCTCTTGGAGCTGCAGCATCGATTGGAGTTCTTCCAGCTGCGATTCGAGCTGCGCTATTGTCTCCTCATGATGCTCCTCGATGGTCTCCAGCTTGTTGCGCTTCAGCTTGTCCAGCTCGTTGAGCAGCGTCTCGTTGTTCTTCATTAGCTCGTCGCACTGGAGCACATACTGCGAGATGTCCGCCTCGAGCGTCTTCTTGTCGTGCTCGACCATCAGCTGCTGCTTGCGCAGATCCGACAGCTGCCTCTCCGTGCCGGTCACACTCTTCAGGCGATCGTTAATTATTTGATATGTGCGAGTCAGGGCCTGGTCGGATTTGTCAGCCAGCAGAGATTCAAGGATCGAGAACAGGTGCCGCGAGCTGTCAGCTTCATCCGGTTCCACATCCAGATCTGTAATCTCCTCCTTCTCCTCGGCAATGGCCTGCCGAAACTTGGCCTGGGCAATGTTCGCGTCCAGCTCCTGGCGCAGACGACGATTCTCGGCACGCAGCGAGCCCAGCTGCTGCTCGAGATCATTGGCGTGTGTCTCCTGATCGGCCTCGGCGTTCAGCTTGAGCTCCTGATTCTGGAGCATCAGCTGTTGCAGCTTGCGCTGCAGTTCCAGCTGCAGCTGCTCCTTTTCGCTCTCGCTTATGCGCAGACGCGTCTCCAGCTCCGACACCTGCTCGACTCGCACACCATCCGCCAGCTGTCGCTCCAAGTCGGCATCCTGCAGCTTGGCATTGGCGGCGCTTAGCTCCCCGATGCGAGACTCCAAAGCGACGAGCTTGTTGCGCAGCTGCTCCTTGGTTGGCGGCATGGTGGCATTCGCATCCCCATCCACATCGGCATCTGGATCAGGATCTGGATCTGAACTGGAACCGGTTGCATCCGTATTGCGCACGACTATAAACTCATCCTCGCTGTGCTTTCCGCCCGTCGATGAGCTGTTCGACGACTCGGAAGTTTTCTTTTCCTTCGCCTGTTTGACCAGCTCCTCCAGCTCAAGTTGCAGCTTCTCGCGTTCGGCATCAGCCTGACGCACACGCTCGATCAGTTCGCTATTGTCATTGCCGCGCTTGTCCAGCAGCTGCTGCATCTCGCCCAGCTCGAGCTGGCAGCGCTTCAGCTGCTCGGACTGTTGCTCGACGCGCTGCTGCAGCTGCTCCTGGACAATTGCCACGGCCTGATGATGCTTCTGCTCATCGGCCAGCTGTGCCTTCAGGCGCGCCATCTCCAGCTCGTGGGCCACCAGACGTTCCGCCTGTAGCTCCTTCAGCTCCATTAGCTGTGACTGCAGCTCTGCCTTCTGGCCGAGCACATCCTGCATGGCCAACTCATGCTGCGCGTCAAGCACTTCCAGTGAGTTGCGCAGCTCTTCATTGGATTGCTCCAGATTCGCGATTATCCTGTTCAGCCCAGACACATCTGGTGTGTCGACCAGCGCCACGTCCACCATTCCAGCCTGCGATGAGCCTTGTTTGCTGTCCGCTGCCGTTGTGGGCGTGGCAGCGGAACCAGCGGGCTCCCAGCACCAGCTGTCTTCCACATTTCGAGCCTCGCCGGAATTCTGCGAGAGAGCACATAGAGAAATGCACAGGAAACTGATTAGTTTACCAAATATTCAAGATACTCTTTCGCCTCCAACAAATACTTATTTACCATATTCAATGTGCTTTTAATCGAAAGACAAGAAAAATTTGCAATTCGAGCGGATTTGTTTCAAACCGAAGCCAATCGATTGGCCATTTTCTTTTCTGACACTATTTTCACAAAACCGAAAATCGAACATAAAACTCAAGGCAACTTGGTTTTGTTAACTTAATGTTGACTATGCAATAAAACAATTGCAATTCCTTTCGAATAACTTACATTTTGAATGGACGAGAAGGACAAGTAGCCGGATTAGTCTATACATCTGACCTTTCTATGCGAGTCTCACTTATATTTTTTACTTTTTTTTCTTTCTTTTTAACTTAGTTTCTCCCTCTTAAACGATCCTCCTTCATTGCTCTCTTCCTATTACTCGCTCGCTCGCTCTCTCTCTCTCTCTCTCTCTCTTACTTCTGTTTTCCTTTTCTCTCTCCGTTTATTTCTTATTCGCTCTCTGCATCATTTTCTCTCTATCCATCACTCTGTTACTTTTGTTTGTTTTCCGTTTCTTCCCCCTCTTCCCTTATATCTGTCACTATATTACTCGTATTCTCTCCTTTTCCTCTCTTCTTCAAATTCCTCAAGCACTTAGCACTCTCTTGCTCGCACTTACACTCACTCACTAACTAAAAAACCTTACTTGAATGCATGAGAATCGCCTAGAAAGGTGATGTGTCGGTCAACGTGCAACTGATCTGCACACAACACCGATCAGGACGACAAGCTGTGTATATTTAAGTGCATATAGTCAGCTCTGTCTGTATCTACGACATCTGGCCTTGTCTGAGAGGTATTATCAACCGATGTCTGTGTAATTCATAGTTTGATTAGAGCGATATTTATTTCTGGCAAGGATCAGATGACTACAATATATGCTTATGATCAAAATATTGATCGTAGACTATACAAACGATAAATGCTCGTTGGCATGCCCAATCCATAGATACCCATTGGAGCACTTGGCGACACGCATGCGCCTCACCCCCTCAACCCTCCCTCCCCCCCACGACGCGTCGCGACGTGCACGTTGTGTCAGGTGCTGCGGGCTGAGCGCGTGAAACATGCGAGCGTTAATGAGTTTATGAAAGAGTCTGAGAATCGTGAGTCGCGAGCAGGGCCAAGCCAAAAAATATGGCTGCCACACTGCGATAAGCAGTACGGGGGGGTGGGGGGGTTCTGGCGATAAAAGCCCATGACGATGATGACTAGTTGGTTGGTTCGTTGGTTGGTTGGTTGGTTGGGCGTCCCGGCAAAATGGCTGCTCGTAAACGGGGCAAATTTAATTAAAATTAGCACACAAATGTGCCACGAAACTTGCTTGCGAAATGCTCAAATGTGACGATAAGCACAATGTATATGTACATATGTTTGTAAAACGTGTAGACATTATGCATTACACAGAATGAAGGAAATGAAGGGAAAGATACGATTTGCCTCTTCCCGTTGTCATTCTCGGCTAACTTCGGTGCTCAGAGTCCGATCTTTATGCGATTTTTGGCATGCGAAAATGGAGTTTTATACGAAACTGGAGTTTGTATTTAATTTTGAGGCCATGTGGAGGAGATATCCAAAGTGAAATTATTTCAAATTTGTAAAAACCGAACTATTTTTGAACATTTTTACTTGGCTCAGGGTATAAAAAAATGAGACACTTGTGCAAACTGCAAACTGGGTTATCCACAGGCACAGCTCGCATGGCTGCCATGTAACCAAATGTGTGTGTGTGTGTGTGTGTGTGTGTGTGTGTGTGTGTGTGTGTGTCTGGGTGTGAAAACACTTGTGTTTCATAAACAAATATTAGTCAAATTATTCATTTGGCCGAGTGTCTCACTGTCTGGCTGACTATCATTATCTCGTTCACACGCACACACACCCTTTTGCTCTGTCTCTCTCTCTCTCTCTCTCTCTCTTCTGTCTGTCTCTCTCTCTGTCTGTCTCCCTCCATAAAGCAGGTTATGGGGAACAGACAATCGATCGGTTTGTGCGTCAGTTGGTTGGACATACCCAAAACTATGTGATATGATATACTATAGATACATATGTATGTATATGTATCTATGCGGAGCCGGTCAGGCCATAAGCCCATAGATAACCATACTAATACATAGATATGACATATACATACATATATGTATATAGCCATTATATAGCAGAGACTGTCGAAATGCAAACACAGCAATACCCTCTAATAACAACAATAAACGAGAGCAACAGCAACAACGACAAGAGCAAACAAATAAAGAAGAAGCAGACCGAATGCCATTGCGACAGATAAGATAAATGAAAAATGAAAGAAGAGAGATACAGCAAAATATGTATGGTAACATTTGCTAGAAGCTACCAAATTCAGTGGGTTGGGTGGGATCCCCTGGGAGTGGGCAGGGCAGATCGCACCCTACGGCCGGAAGTGAACCGGAGAACCGGAGAAGCGGAGAACCACAGAACAAAAGCAGCCGCTGGCTTAGCCAGAAAAGCGCCCAAACAAAAAGCCAAACAGATATTTTGCCAACAACGTGTAATCCAAGAAATACAAGAAGAAGAACACGACAAAAAAGACGATATCTCTTAAAATTAGTGCAGCAACAGCAAAAAATTCAAGAGCAACAAAATATGCTTCGTTGAGGGAAAACTGACCGAAAACCTTATATAGATATATCATATATACATAGATATGTACATAAAATAATAAATAAATGCTTATATACAAAAAGGTGTCCCATTAACTTAATCTGAAACGATCCCATAAAAATATTAAAAATATTCTATTTATGTTCAGAGCAAAAAACAAACAAGGACATAAAAGTTTTTGTATAATAATACATTTGATAACTATAATATATTAAATTCGACAGCATTAAATACACAGTAAAAATGCATCAATTTATCCCAAGCAGAATGCACTACAAAACTATAGGGAATGCCCCTAATTGTGAGTTAGGCAAATTTTCTCATACCAAAACCGTGAAGAATTCGTTCGTACGAAGTTGACAAATAAATAGAAAATAGATCTAATTGTTGTTGTTGCCGGTCAAATAATTTGAAAATAATCAGAAATTTGTCAGAGAGCTTTGGCGAGTTGTTCAAAATGAACATTTTTATCAAGTATAAGCACTTCCAATTTTAGATATGAGTTCAACAAATTCAATAAAAAACAAAAAGAAGAAAAAAACAAACGCATGTACGCAAAATGCTTATCAATATTGTTAGTTAAAAAAAAAATACGAAAGATATCAAATAAAAGCACATGCCATGGAATTTTTCAGAGCCATGAGTCAAAATTTGGGCGAGACAATTGCACAAAAACGATCAACTAAGCGAAAAACCCAAAAAAAAAAAAATACTTAAGACTTCAAAATCATAATGCAATAATAAATAGCTAAATAATAAACGTGAAATCAACCGAGTTCGACCAATTCCGATTGGATTAGCAGCAGGCCAGAGCTGAGCTGACTTCTTCACGTGGCCGCCGCCCATTGCCATTGCCATTGAGGGGGGGGGGGGGGGGGGCTTATCTTATCGCCGAGCCATAACCGTGCCCATATATACTCACCCACAGCCGGGAAGTGTACGGCGGGCCCGACAGGTCCGCGGTCCGTGGTCCGTGGTCTGTGGCAAACCGAAGGGTTTCCATATAATACGCACGCACAGCCAATTTCGATTGTTTATAATTAAATGTGGCTCGACTCCAGATGCCGCACTCAATTATTTGCATCCATGCAGCAGGCGAGGTAGGGTACGGCGGAGGGGGGGTTTTAGCATAAACAGCAACAAGACCCCGGGGAGTCACAAACCCTACGCGGAAACCGAGTGTCTGAGCGATTTCTAGTTTGGATTCGATTCGCGTACGACATTGGGTTTCTGGTTGCGGCAGCGGCAGCGTCTGCGTTTTGTTGGTATTTGATTCCATTCGACCGAAACAAAATCCAAATTCGATTGCAAACAATACCAGGAATTTGCACATGCAACAAGTGGCAGCAACAATATTAAACGAATATCCTTCAACTCGTATGAATATTTACATTTTTAGACTTAAAAATGAGGATCCGAATCCCACTCTTAGTTTATTGGGCATGGATCTTAACTCAAGGCTCCAGATACCAGTTGGGTAAATAACTATATATACAAATATATTATAATAATGATTAAAATGTTATTTTACAGTTAAAGATTCAATATAAGGATCATGGGAATAGTTAAATATTGTCAGCCAGATTTATAGAAACAAAGCTTGAGATAGTTTCTGCCTGTTGTAAGACCTTGAAGTATCTTGAAATCTGCAGATATACATATATTCGAAATATTTAAGGATGGGACAAAAGAGAAGTTTCCTTCTACAGACAGGAGAAGGGTTTTTCCTGCCTCTGCAGGAGCAAAATGGCAAGAATAGGGTATTTGAAGTTCGGCATGTCAGTTGAACAGGTTTTCTAAGCTTCCGAAATGCTTATTTATTTCGAACTCTAAAGCAATTAAAATATAAATTATGAGCATGAATTTTATTTCGTTTCTGTTAAGACTTAAAGCTGTGCCAACTTTAACAAGCACACATCGTATATAGATACATATTTGTATATAGTAGATATATATATTTGTATATTTAGAGATGTAGATACGGATAGATAAGATATAAGAACATGCAAAAATATATGCACTTTGCCTCGACATCTCTCTCTCGGCTCGAGGAAGTTGCGACAACAACTAAATAAAATGACTTATCATAAAGTATAATAATTTACTGTATGCAGTTCAATATCCAACTAGAAAAGGCCGGAAATTACTTGCACAAAACGGAGCTAATAAGCTAATATGAGAAGATGTCAAGAGACAAAAGTCGAAAGTCAAGGCGAAAATGACGATGAAATCTTGTTGCCAGACAGACAGACACAGCTTCAGCTTCAGCTTCAGCTTCAGCTTCGGTTT